AGTCCTTCCTTTTAGAATAACTAATCATGTTTCATATTTCATTTTCCAACAGGTCAGATACAGGTGTGTTTACGTTCTTCCAAAGCCTCGTGCATATATTTGACCAGACTGAGCTCAAAAGTAACTAACTTGAACAAGAAATCATCGAATGTAGCTTGTAGTTTCCAATATGAGATCATTAAACTTTGTGTTTTACGCTCATCTATCTCTGTGAACTTATTATTTTCATTTGTCCCGGTTCTGAGTGCAAGTTTTCACTCTCCTTACGCAGTTCCTTCATAGAATTTGTTGAGGAATACATCAACACTAATTGTGATCCCCAATTCAAGTTGATGATTGTCTTAATTCTCCTCACTGTCTACTGGACAAACGGACGCATTTTGGAAAAAGATAATACACTTCGATCACTAAATATTATTATTTAAGTTACCAGTTGACTTATTTGTTACTGAACTTAGAAATGCATACCGTAAAACTTCGGTTATAACCCCCTCGGCTATAGGCTCTATATGTATGTAAAAATATTTCGGTTATTAGCCCCTGTACCTCATCGGCCGGCAATTGCTCTCATGAGGAAGCTTCATACAAAGAACTCTGTCTGTGCTTCGTATACTTGTTTTCTTACTTGTTCCTTGTGNTCAGCTGCTCTTATACATCATTAAAGTAAAATCTCAGGAAGATCACTAGTTTTGTAGTTTGAATTTTAGTGACGTCATGTAAAAACCAGCTATTATTTTCATTTGTCCCGGTTCTGAGTGCACGTTTTCACTGTCCTTACGCAGTTCCTTCATAGAATTTGTTCAGGAATACATCACCACTAATTGTGATGCCCAATTCAAATTGACGATTGTCTTAATTCTCCTCACTGTCTACTGGACAAACGTACGCATTTTGGAAAAAGAAAATACACGTCGATCACGTGCACTAAATATTATTATTCAAGTTAGTAGTAACTTGTTTGTTACTGAACTTAGAAATGCATACCGTAAAACCTCGGTTATAACTCCCCTCGGCTGTAGGCCCATCTATATGTATGTAAAAAGATTTCGGTTATTAGCCCCGTACCTCATCGGCCGGCAATTGCTCTCATGAGGAAGCTTCATACAAAGAACTCTGTCTGTGCTTCGTATACTTGTTTTCTTACTTGTTCCTTGTGTTTCTTGTTCCTAAGAACACAAATCATCCTTTTATGCTGTTAGATGTTAGTTTCACCAGCTTATTTCGAAACGTTTTTTAACCGCTTATAAGCCCCCTCCCGGGTATTACCCACTCCCGGTCTATAAGCCTACTCGAGACCCCTTACGAAGTTGTATGAGCCCAGGGCTTTTAACGGAATTTTACGGAAAACCAGTCGTGAATTGAAGTGTAACTAAACCAAGCTGGCTGGAA